TAATGAGCTGATGTAACAAGCTGCAGTAACAAGCTGATGTAACGAGCTGCAGTAACGAGCTGCAGTAACGAGCTGCAGTAATGAGCTGATGTAACGAGCTGCAGTAACGAGCTGCAGTAACGAGCTGCAGTAATGAGCTGATGTAACGAGCTGCAGTAACGAGCTGCAGTAACAAGGTGATGTAATGAGCTGCAGTAACGAGCTGATGTGTGTTTCAGAGTTGAAGAGAGAGCGGTCGTCAGAGTGAGTGTGAGGAGAGAGAGAGTGACGACAGGAGTTAATCTGGGGGTCAGAGGGTAAGCATGATTATTGATCTGAAACAGTTGATCAGCTTCTGTCATCTCTTTGACTTTTGATTAGTAATATTCATCATCCTGTTCACTCCCCTTATCTCAGCCACCGTCGCAGTTCAAGGTCAGAACTCTTCATCATGTCTTCATCACTTCTCCTTTTTTTTTGGATCACATTTTTCTTGTGTTGATCATTAAGTTTGTCTCTTTCAGTCCCATCAAGATCACAAACTTTGAGTCTCATTACCACAAACTTCTGGCTGACTCCAACTACCTTCTGTCAGAGGAGTACGAGGTGAGTCTTCACCATGATAACCCATTTCCTGGGGGGCTGTCCCCAGTGAACCCATTGTGTTGTTTCCGTCCCGTCAGGACCTGAAGGACGTCGGTCGTAATCAGCTTATGGACTCGGCTCTGCTGCCGGAGAACCGCGGGAAAAACCGATATAACAACATCTTGCCCTGTGAGTGTCCAGCCCCACCCAATGGAGGAGCAGGGAGGAGGGGGATCATGTCAATGCATTAAATGTTGTTGTGTCTGTCTTCAGACGATTCAACGAGGGTCAAACTGTCGTATGTAGATGATGATCCCTGCTCTGACTACATCAATGCCAGCTACATCCCGGTGAGATCACATGATCACATGACATCACGTTATAAATGATCCTGGGGGAGAGCTGTGGAGGGTGAGGCGCAGTGGGGGTTGAGGGGACATCATCATTAAGAAGTTTTGTTTTTTCAGGGTAACAACTTCCGTCGAGAGTATGTTGCCACTCAGGGACCTCTGCCCGGGACCAAAGATGATTTCTGGAAGATGGTTTGGGAGCAGAACGTCCACAACGTGGTGATGGTCACTCAGTGTGTGGAGAAAGGACGGGTGAGTAGAAGAAGACACATGTGGACAGAGACAAATCCTAACACATCGTTTTCAGCCCATCTGAAACTCAGCGGCACCAGTCGCTGGTCAGTCTGTGGTTTTCACTTCTGCACGATGGAATAAAAATGATCTAAGGCCTCATTTATAAAACAGTAGGATTCACACTAAAAGTGTATGTGCGCAAGCAAACAGATTCAGATTACCTTATGAATATTCAATTCACCTGTTTCTATGGTGAATCAGCATCAAGTGTTGAGAAGAAAGTGAGGTGGAAGTGAAGAGGCACAGATTGTTTGATGGCCACAGCAGTGATGTCATGAATAAAGAAAATACACCGAGTGCTGATGTGTTAAAACAGTGACGATAGAAATAAAAAGTGATCAGATAAGATGGAGAAGGATTCAAGTTTCTCATGATCACAATGTGAAAGAACATGTTTTATCTCCTGAACGTATTTTAATTTAACTTCAGGATTATTAAACTCAAACTGTGATGAATCTTTAAAATGTTGAAT